GCTCGAGTAACCTACTATTATCGCTTAGTAGAGCTAAGGAAGATATTCCTTAAGGAAGCTCTAGAGCGTTAAGCATCGTACCTATATCGGTAATATAAGATCGCTACGCGTAACTATAACGTAGACTACTAGAAAAGAGATAGCTAAATAAAATATAACGGATAGAGGCGGAGCTTCGAGGTAAGTAAGTTAATAATTCGGTAGATATCCTAGATACGACGCTACTCCTTCGTAAGCGGCTAGTAAGTCTATAAGAGGATAGCCTAGTAAAGTATATTAAGATAGAGGAACCTAAGATATATATAGGTACTTCGCTAGCTAGTCTATAGAAGTTCGATACCTATTAGTAGATTCGTTTTTCTATACTATCGAGTTCGATAGTACTATTAAACGCGAATCGTATTAACTTAGCGACTACGTTCCTAACTAATACTACTACTTTAGTATAGGCGCGTCGAGAAGAAGCCGTCCTAATATAGGAAGACTTTATCTACTTCCTACGAAATCTAGTATAAAATCTAGCGAACCGCTTAATATTCGTACTAAGTCGCCTATAGCGGAAACGCTAGGGCGAAAGCTAGATAGTTCGAGAGCTATAAGAAGAACTTATACGTATTCGAACGAATATTCTATCGATATCTAAACGCGAGACGTATACTTAAGAGCTACTACTCGTATTAAAGCCTAAGATTCGGCTAGAGGTAATAAGGTAATTACTCGATATTAAATCTAAAGAGTAGGTCCTACGCGCGATATAGCGCTAGAAGGAGCTCTAAAAGACTTCTAGTAGAAGGCCTAAACTACGAGAAGTCTCGAAGTATTTTTCTAGTAAGCCGAGCGCGAAAACTCCTTAAAGGGGGCGCTCGGAGTCCTACTCGTACGACGATAAGTCGAAGGGAAAGGATAGGAGGTATAGACCTATTTTCGGCGATAGACGATATTAGAACTATAACTAACCTAAATATATAAGAATAGAGTACTCGTAGAGTACTAGTAAGGTAGCTAGCGATATAGCTAGAGATAAGAGTTAGAAGAAGGGTAAATTCTTCTAGATAAAAAAATTAGTACCTAGTATACTACGCGCTACTAGCGTATTAAGGCTACTAGAAGATAGTACGATATCGTCGCGAATACTAGTAGTAACTATAAATACGAAGTTTAGTAGTAAGAGGCGTACGCTTCGCGTACTAATCGACTTCGGAGCGAAGCTAAACTTTATATTATAGAGAGTAATTATAGAGAAAGGCCTTACTATAGGAATATCGAAGGAGCGTACTTACGCTATCGACGACTATTTAATTTAAGTCTACGAAGATTACTATATAGCTCTATATACGACTAATATATTAGGAACGTATATTCCTAGTATCTATAGGTTCCTAGCTACTAATCTTAGTAACTTTAATATAATCTTTAGGTATATTTAGCTTTACGTAGTAGATCTAGAAGTTCGCTAGCGCGAAAATACGTAGTATTATCGTATAGTACGAAAAGCGTATATAGTTCTTATTTCCTTTCGAAAGGTAATAAAGCTAGCTAAAATCTATCGAGTTTACGCTATCTACTTAAAGGACTTAAAGTCTAATAGTAACCCTATTAAGGAGGAATCGTAGGATAATAGCGGAAGTATAGCGGTCTCTTTACCGAAAGAGTATCGAGATTTTAGTAATATATTCTCGGAAGAGGATACGAGTAAGCTATCGCTAGATACTAGAGTAACTTACTCGATCTCTTTAGAAGAAGGTTCGATAGCGAGTTATAGGCTAATCTATTCCCTTAGTATAAAGGAGCTTCGAGTACTCCGCGAGTACCTTAATAAGTATCTAGCGCGGAGATAGATTAGGAGAAGCGAGTCGCCTACGAAGGCTCCTATCCTATTTATACTAAAGAAGGACGGTAGCTTACGACTCTATATCGACTATCGTACCTTAAATAGGATAACCGTAAAGAATCGTTATTCCTTACTCTTAATTAGTAAGATACTAAATCGATTAGCCGGCGCTACTATATATATTAAGTTAGACTTACGTAATATATACTATAGAATACGAATATATAAGAAGAATATCTAGAAGACTACGTTTCGTACGCGGTATAGCTACTTCGAATATCTAGTTATACCGTTTAGTCTTACTAATACTTCGATAACTTTCTAAGCCTATATTAACGAGGCGTTAGAGGAGCTCCTTAATATTATATACGTAGTATATCTCGATAATATCCTTATTTTTAGTTAAGATTCGATAGAATATACTAAGTATATACGCTTAGTACTCGAAAGGCTCCGAAAGTATAAACTATATATTAAGCTTTCGAAGTATAAGTTCTCGACTTAGAGAGTCGAGTTCTTAGAATTTATCGTAGGAGTCGAAGGTATCTTAATAGACCCTCGAAGGGTTATCGCGGTCTAAAACTAGCCTCGATCGATATCTTTCCGGAAAATCTAAGTCTTCTTAGGTTTTACGAACTTCTATCGAGGTTTTATCGTAGGGTACTCGTAAGTAACTACTCCTATTACTAATTTCCTAAAAGGAATATAGAAAGAGAAGAAGATAGGCTCGTTTAAATAGATAGACGAGGCTAAAGCGGCTTAAAAAGTACTAAAAGTACGCTTTTATAGTACGCTACTACTAGCCTACTATAACTCTATATAATAGTATAAGGTAGAACTTAACGCCTTAAGGAAGGCTTATAGTTCGATTTTCTCGTAAGTATATAAGTCGCGTACTACCCGAGAACGAACGATATAGAAATCTATAGCTTTCTTTTTAAGAAAGTAGAACGCCGTAGAGCGTAACTATAGAATATCGAATTAGGAGATACTAGCTATCGTAGAATCCTTTAAGGAGTAGCGCTACT